TCGGGCTCGTCACGGGCAGCCACGCTCATGGAACCTGACATTGCGGTAGATTTTTAATTTCTTAAATGCGAGGTGAGGGTTATGAGAATTGGAACAAAAATTTACCAATCATTCCATCCAGAGAGCTGTTGGATCGCGACCCAGTATGGGGCGTGTCAGGTACAGGGATTCCAGCTGCAATCATGAGTTGTTGGAACTCTTGTTCTCGAGGTCTGTGTCCTCTCTTGGTAGCCCTGGAGAATAGGTAAACGTGATTCCGCAGGACCCAAGACTCCGCATTCACATGATCACCTGGCAGATGCCAATATGATGCATGCACGCCTGCATAGATAGATCTATACAGGCCACATGGGGATCTGGGAAGAAAAAAGGGAAACTATTAAGCTAGTCATGACAAGTTGCGGGTTGGACATGCTTTCCCTCTTGGCCTGCAGTGGGTCAGAAACAGGGTGACCGCCTCAGCCAATGTATTCACAGATGGGCGTAGTCCTTGGCTGCACGTTGGACTTGTAATAGATTAGGGTTGAGTGGATTTCCTACGCCCCTATCTACAAAAGAGTGCCCCAACCAATCATTACTAAGAGTCCGAGGTGTTCAACAAGTGGTAGAAGAACTTTGTAGTTGGCACACACCTCTTTGCGAGTGATTTCCTGGTTCTTGCCGACCACAGCCATCACACCAGCAGCAGCTTGCTTAACAAGAGCCTCATTCTTCTTCCACTGTTCAACTACTGCTGCTATGGCATCGGATGCCATGAAGCCTCAAAACCTATGGCCTATATGTAGACGATGTTTCTTGGACCAAATGGCACTGCATGGTGTTTGTTGTCCAAGTGCTCATGAAACACCCACGGCTGATAGCGGTATTTTTGCCGGGCCTTCAGCAAACGTCGGACAGGTGGACCATTGATCGAGTACCTGGATGCGCGCACATTGCACCGGGCGGGTTTCAGATATGAGCAGGTCTTTACATGTAAAACATCGAGAACTTTCATGCAGTGACCATATTTGTGTCGGTATATTTATATAGATCCAGAGAAGGGGCACTTGGTCACCTGGTGATGATAGGGCGGTGTCCAGAAACAGAGCCAAAATGGCTGGACATGGGATGCTGAATCTGCGCGTTTTGGTAAACATGCACGTAATCTACGAGTCTTCTTTTAGCCGCGTTGGCACTGTACCAAGGAGCGCCGCTGCCGATCCGTAGAGCGCTGATCTTCTTTGAGAAGGGCGGGCGCTTCATTGGGTGGGCGCTTCATTGGCTTCTTAAAGAACACCTTCCCCAAAATACCAATCACATACCAAAAAAAAATACTAAAACATATGGTTTGAGGGGCTGACTTCATCCATAGAAAAGCAAAAGCTGACAGCTTGAGGAGTGACTTCAGGGTGTTGATCCAACCAAGACACCAAAAAACAACTTAAACCAAGTTTAGTTTTGCTGAAGATTCTGGTGCCAACCTTCCTGTGACCATTCTGGCTGAGGAGGAACGACTGGATCCCTAGGGAGGGTATAGGGTATATGGTATAGGGCTTTGCTGTTCTGAAAGCGACACCCTCAGAGAGGCGGCTGTGGATTAAATTAAAGCTGCAGGGGTTGCACAAGATCTCAGGCGCCTTGAAAATGACAGATCATTCGACAGTGCACTTTTGAGAGGGCACCACTCAGACAGGCTTTCCAAAAGATACGGGTTGTTCTGTATTTGCATGGCGTAACGCGTGTGCAACCCCACCCCCCTCTCATTTTCAAGGCCTGCAACAACTGCGTCGGGTTTCCGAAATCGACCTTGTTGCTTGAAAATAGATCAGCTTGGGCTTGGACGGTGGACCACTTCCGCGGGCAGAAACGATCAGCTGGGTGTTTGCAAGTCATTGTGCAGGGATATGTGTTACATAAAAGTTGCAAACAATACATATGATTGTGCTTGTATGTTTGTCCAGCTTGAGGGCTTGTCATGGCCAAGTTTCTGCCTGAAGTTCTCGTCCAAACCCACGATCCACTGCTTGGTGATGGTGGTGTCCGGAAAGTACTTAGTGAAGATGTTTGTCACAGGAGTTGCACATGAAACGCATAAGCCTTCAGCACAAACGAACTCAGTTTATATAGTGAACTTATAATTATATACAACTCAAACCATTTACAACAATGGTTTTTACCGACCAGGTCCTAGTTCTTACCGGGAAAAAAACAATCCTGTCCTTCGAAGGCGAAGCAAACCGTAGCAGCCCCCCCAGAAGCCGCTTTTGACAGCTCCATCACCCTTCGCGAACTTCCGCGGCAGTGCGCAGAACCCTACGCCGCAGCTGCTCGGCGCGGAAAAACATTTCCCACCGGAACATCTGCAGCACTCGCATAGCGCTTCAGTGCGACGCGCCTCTGGCGCTGCGAAGACACACAGAGCTTCAGTAATCCTCGGTGGGCCGGTCCCGATTGGGAGTGTTTCAACGGTCCCACCCGGCAGTGGAACCTGATGCCACCGTTTCGAGCGAAACGGTTTCACGAAACCAAACAACGGGTGCTTTCTCGGTGATCAAAAGGTGGTACAGTACAGACTCGTAGTGTGACGGCAGTGGGAGGCCCCGATGTTGGAAGGTACTGTAGGTGAATTACTTGGTTGTTTCGTGTTGTTTGGTTTGACTTGTTCGACAAGACCCGTGTTCCACAGAGGTCCGCGAGATGCAGCGCATGAATGACTCCTCGGTCCTGCCTAGTAGTGGTTGGGGTGACAACGTCCTTCTATCTCAATGACCCTTGCCATTTCCTCTATGGAATGAGGGGGGGTCAACACTCCCTATAAAGCGATTTATGGATGTGGCACCTTGGTCCCTGGAGGGGGGGCAGCCCCCCAGTTTATAGAGAAACCAGTTTTGTAAACAGGATTTGATCAGTATGTTGCGCACAGGGTTTCCATGTTATATTTTAACCATTTTGCCTGAATATCGACCTGGTTGGATCAATGTGGTCACGTTGTATAGACATGGTGTTCACGAACGAGGAACGAGACCCTCAGATCAGGTTCCACTGACACTCAGTTCTTTTCAGAACGCACGGATCATATTGCTCTTGACATTTCTGGACAACCAAAGTTAAAATACGATATGAAATCATTGTTTGTTTTTTACATCAACATAATAAGCTCCGTTAAGAAAGTCGAAACAACTATATATATATATTGGATGGTCCGTGCGGCTTACATGCTCCATGCTTAATGCTCCAAATCGGACATGGCACGATCGGAGATGAAAGGGAGAAGCAAGAAATGCATTATATATAATGGTTTTATCTCGTACATCTCATAAATGTATTAAATATTGTATGACCAATATTAGGGCACAGAAAGCACACAAGCAAACGCACAGTAACTTGACAAAGTCATACCGAGCATATATGTATATAAGCAACATAATATGTGAAACATTGAGGAAGAGAAACCAGACAACTAGCCACCAAACCTCACCTCTCCTAGCCTCAGCTGAAAAAGCCACCGCAGCACGCCAACCTTTGTTTCCCAAGGAATACCTTTATGAAATGCCTTGTAGCTGGCCTTTTTGCTATTTTCAGTCTTGGTGTACAAATATCGTCTAATATCGCTTCAAAAAGTCAACCCCTTCAAACTACCGTAGTAAGCAAGGCAGTAAAAACCGTCCAAAAGACTCATTTGTCCTAGTCATAGTCCCAAGACAAGCCAATCTCTCCAAAGGAATGCCGTCAAACATGTCAAAACCCACCAACCCTGCTCTCCCACAGAGGACCCGTTCCTGCCACGTACCCGATCCACGGCGTAACAGAATCGCCAAAGGAGCTCCGACCCCCTGTGACTCGCTAAAAGGAAAAAAGAGAGGCTCGGGTGTCCAAGCACCAGAGTCTGAAGGCTGAAGGCTTGCTTAGCGGCTTAGCGTTTCAGAAGTGACTCGCACCTAGGCATCGCCCAAAAAACGAACGCCCAGAACGAGGCACGGCACCGGTCGCAGTTCACCTGGACCGATTGATCTGTGGGCCTTTACACACCGTGGGGCTGGTCGTCTCCACTGGCATTCACTGGCATATTTCCAGACCTTGGGGTGCTTGGAAAGGGGCCCATGTAGGCTCAGGGACTTTTTCCACGGATGGTGTGTTTGGGTATTTGATGTAAGGTTTGGAAAGTTTGGATGTGAAGGCGATGCAAAGGTTCAGCCGAAAGGTCAGAATGTCAGAAGCCATGTCCATGTGCGACGTAAACCCTATGGTTCCACTGCCACCGGTGGTTGGAGACAGGTTAATGGAGGCGAGTTGACAGGGTCCAGTCAAATGAGAAGGTATGTGGATCCCTAGGAAAGCTAAAGCTACACCTATTGCGTGTGTGCGTGTGTGTGAGTGTGTCAGAATCGGTAGAACCTGCCACTGGGTTTTGGTTGGTTGGTCATAGTTCTTCCTCCAGATCTTTTGGAGGCGTTCCAATTTCTCCACCAGGGAGGGCCGGCGCGCAGAAACTAGGCCCCTTCTTCGGTTCCGGGCCGCAGAACTGTCGAGACGCGAACCGGAGAGGCCTGACCGAAACAAGATGAGACCAGAATTGGCTTGTCCAGTAGGATCGGTTCATCAAGTTCTTTAAAAGGTCCGGTTTTTGGGATCGGCAGGGCCCCAAAGGCTCAACGGGTTTCAAAAAATGCAGGCACGCTTACAGAACAACACCCAAAAAACAAAAAAACACTGAGGAAAAACACATGCGTCAAGTAAAACAAGTTCAGCTTGGGATCCCAACAAATCCTGAAAACTACTGCTCACCATGCCCCGCTCACATGCAGTCCAGATGTTGGGCAACAAAGACCGCTTCAACAACTCACCACAGCGCCACCCAATTCCCCAAAGATCCACCCAAGTCCACTGAACCTCCAGTTCTATCTTCGGGGTACGCAGCACTGGCGCAAAGGTGCCCTCACATCCACTGTCACACCGGATGGGTTTTCAGGAACCATCTGAAATTCAATTGAAGGAGTTGGTGGTCAGACCCTTCGGTCGCATGTGTTTCTGTGGTCCCTCGCATTGCATTAACTAACTTGGTCCTCATCGGATGGCTTCCGCATGGTTTGTTCAAGCCGCCATGGCGAGACTGGCCGCCATAGGATGAGACATGCCAGGCGTTCCACATGAGAACCCTGGCATTGCGAATGTGTTGTTTTTGCTTGGCCAGGTGTTACTTGATACGAGTCTTCACATGTTTTGGACATTCAGTTAGCCCAATCACAACAGGGCACTCTGAATTGTGAACAAACAATTCAGCTAACTGCACAACTGCAGGTAGAAGGGTCGGCATCGATGTTTTTCATTGTGTTTCAATTGAGGAAGGCGGTGTCCAGCTGATCCCCCAATCTTATCCAGGAAAAGAGTCTGAGATATGAAAACCGCCCGAAAGGGACTGAGAGGCACGTTGTTTGGAGAGTTGTGTTTTTCTTTCTTTTCTGAAGGTGGATGTAAACTGGATGGTCGTTGAGCACGGGCTGCCAGGCATAGGCTTCATCATGCTTGAGGATTGATTAAGGTGTTCGGTGACCAATTTAAGCGAATGGCCTCGTTGAACCGCCCCCGTCCGTGGTCGACCCTGCCCACACCGTGCACAATCGTGCACAGTCCAAACACGTGTTTTGGCGTTCCGATGAACTGGATGGATCGTTGACATGGGGCCTGAAAATGAACCTTTGGACCGGAAGTCTTTGGAAGACTCGTTTCCTCTAATGGCAACACCGGATTAATAACCCTCCCTCCCCCGCCCCTGAATGGTCAATCAGGAGGGCTCGCCAAGACTAAATAACTTCAATGCGAATGCAGTGGCTAGCTTCTGCAGTCGGGATATGACAGGATCACTGGCTACGCACAAGGAGTCCTTATGGTTTTTCCCGGCGTTTAAAACCCATTGGGAGGGATGTTTTGTTGTTTCCCCGGTTTTCCGGTTCCAATCTTCGGCGAAATAACCTTTGTCTGGACTGTCGGTGCGCCTTAAACCGCGGCTTGTGGCGTGGTTTCTCGTGACTACTCTGGTTTCTTCCAGCGTCTTTTTCGTACGTTTAGTTATTCAGGCAACCGCAAGCGGCTCGCGTTCACATGCAACCGTTGCAAGGCCATGAAGGGCTTCCTGGTCTCCCTTTTCTTCAGCTGCCCTGGTCTGCCATCTGGAAGCTTGTCACGCGTCTCTTCCGACTGGGCCAGGCGCTTGTGTCAGGCCGGAGCAATAGCCGAGTGAACCGGAGTGAAACAAGAGTCGCGGGAGTGAAGACAACAAGGAACCGATAGAAACAAACAGAAACAGTTGGGCGTGTCCGAACTTACCTGTAACAGTCAGTAATCAATTAACAATTACTATTTTTGGATCTTTTTGGACAAGGCCTCTACTAACCATCATCATCCACTGTTACAGCTAATAGGATAGACCCAACAGAAACACCAGAAACATGGACCACAAAAATCTACACTCACTGAAATCATCATTACGTGGATGGCACCACCGGTACTCGTATGAGGATTTCATGGTCATTTGCAATCGAGGCCATGCCATCCACTTAACCATGATTGTTCCGGGGAGTGTAGAGTCTTTGGTTTCCCTTGGTCAGACGGTGATTGCTCCCTGCTGGGAACGTTCGGGTTGGATTACTTTTGGGGCTGGAAGCTTGCAGCAGCTGGCTACCACCACCTGAAAATCGAAGGGTGTATGCAATGGTATGTACAAAGAAATTTAGGGTTGCATGCGGGAACACCCCCAAGATCCTCACATCAAATGAGTTTTGTAATGTGATTGCCATGATCAGTTGCTGATTTTGATATCGATGCGCAACCTAGTGTTCCAATCTCCCCCGCAAATGGAGAATTCTTGAGTGCAGGCGAATGTGAAAGAAAAATCGCAAAAAGCATCTTCGGTTCGTCGGTGTTTGCTTGAATACTATGGAAATGTTTACCTACATTGGGGTGGTTTCAGGGGTGAATAAGTAAAAATACAATCCACGGAGTGTTTGGGTTTGTTCTGAATTCATGTTAGTATACGTCTACGTGTTGCCTCTACGTGTTGCCGTTGGTCACCGCAGCATCGGTGACGGTCGCTGTCAAAACCGGTCGCGGCACAGGGGCGCCAGTTGTGGACACTGCCTGACGTGCCGGTGTGCACGGAGGATGGAAGCTGTGAGAGCTACTCCTTGGGCTCTGGTTTTTGCACTTCTTGGAGACTGGGACGATGTGGGGCGGTTGAACACCATGTGTCAACGACCGGAAGCGATCTCTTCTCCATGTACCGGGAGTTCAGGTGTACAACGAAGCAGGGATGAAGTGAACGGAAAAGAAGAACACACGTCATGGTTGGATGGATGGGATGTAAATATGTGTTGAACATGTGGTTCATCAGTGTTCATTATATACTGCCTGGGAACCAAAACAACCGGAAACAACTGGTTGTTCCAATATTGCAATTGAGATCCTTTACACATAGGAAATGGATGTTTGCGGAAACATCCATCTCTTTTTGGTTGTTTGGGGTTACAGGTGTATATATATATATATCGTGTTGATGCTCTCGAAGCTGAAGGGTCAGGGTGATCCAGTTTGCCTCGAATCGGCTGCCGCACCAGCCGACGCAACTACAGCCTGCAACTTGATCCATTTTTAGGGGGGTAAGTACTGGTTGGTTTCAATGCTGCTCCTATACTTTGTTTACCGACCGGCAGAAAACCATGGGAACGAATGTGCAGTTTCATGCACAATGGCATGCTCAGCACAAGTACGGGATATGTCACATGATGCGTCACATTGGGAACCTTCGAGATCATAGTGTGCCATGTCTTGTCACATAATGTCGACCTATGATCAATCAACCCCCTCAATAAAGCTAAGCAACTCCCCAAAACCAAACAGTAAATCCCCAAGTAGAGGGGAGCCCGTTGATGAATCAGAGGTGGACATTACATCGTCGATGAAGATCTTAGCATTGCGACCGCACAGGGTCAACTGGGTCAACCTGGCCCCCTGTGCCGACGCACTCGATCTTGCTTCACTAAGCCAGCTTTTGGAGGAATCTCAGGAATATCTGGTGGGATAGAAACGGTTTCCAATAGATGATTAGTGGGGATTCAGTGGGGATCTACTCTTTACTCTTTCTATCGTTATATAGAGGAAAATGGTCATCCAAGGGGCCATGCCATCCACGTAAACGTGCTTTGTAACAGATCCACTGGGGATGTTTTTGGCATAAGGTTTCTCAAAAGGTTGGTTTTTAGTTGGTTCTCGCGGGGTGGAACATGGTGGAACTGGAAGGTTTCTTGGTTTCAATTCACGCCCGTACTATCCGAATCCTATTCTGTTCGTAGCCCACATACCCCAGCAACTATGCTTTTTATTGTTAGCTTGAGACCCTCCAATGGCATTCCCCAGGCTGACCACGTCCTACACCACTGTCCCAATGGGCCCAATCATTGTGCACCCAAATACGGCTGTGGGTCAAAACCCGGAGCCACCCAGGGTGTCCCACTGCCATGACCCATAGCCATATGGTCTTGGCACTTCCTTGGATGGTCATCCAGGATGGCACTTCCTTGGAAGACCACTTTGAAGGCACCGATTGGCACACCCAGCTGGAAAGGTTGCACTGCTCAGGGCTTCTACGCACGACAGGGCGAGGTGTTTCAACATCCACCGCCCCTGCTGAATTGCCCATTGGCAGTACCTTTGGCCATCCTCTCAGTGCCCTGATTGCGGAAGTCAGGTACCAAATGGCCGTTTTGCTGGGATGTTCACCACCATTTCGGAAGGGCATGTTTGTCTCCACGGTAAGATTTTGATGATGAGGTGATGAGTGATGAACACTTTGCAGCAATATGTAGGACTTGATTGATCAATGATTGTTTCAGTGGTCCTAGGGTCCGCAAGACTGCGGACGTCTGGAGACATCATAAGACCCAATACTGCAGTTTGGAGGTTGACCCTTCACAGATGCTTGAGCTCTCCAGTTTTGAGCTCTCACAGATGCTTGACCTCAATAATCAACTACCCGTGTCATTGACCACAAGTCCTAAGCTATCAAAAAAAACCACCGTCTCTTGTGATGTTCAGAGCCTCAAAACCCACAACTGAGGCTCGCCCCGCCCCCCACCACCGGGTCGGACCCCCTTTGCTCCCGTGCTCCCAAGAGGGCACGCCACCCGCGAACCGTGGACACCCGTCTCGGAAGCGTTTGATTGCTCGACCCGTCTCGGAGCTTTTTCCTTAGGTGCCGAAGTCGGCCTCGTCTACCTTCCTGGTGTGGCTGGCCACCCTGGAGGGCCGCAGCGAGGCGAACCTGCTGGCGGCGCTGGCGGCGCGACGGTGTCTCGAGCACACACAGGAGAGGGGCGCACCGGAAGGGGGGCTTGGGGTGCACTTGGCTGGGTGCACTTGGCTGATCGAGGGATTTTCGCTAGAAGGGTCAATGTTGTGCTTTTTACCGGTTGCTTACAGCAAATCCAAGTAAACGTAGCAAGTCCAAAGTCGACATGAAGACATACGCTCCCTCCAATCAAGCCGGCCAGGAAAATGGTAGGAGTGACCCAGGGACTGAACTGTTCCACTTTCGTTTCGGGGAGTGTAGTCACCTATAAGAGGTATGGACAGTGATCTCACCCAAGAATGGATGGATGGTTTTTCCCTGATTGTTGAAAACCGTTCCTTCTAAGCTTTCGAAGTCTGAGTGTTTTCCCTATCCTCAGCTGCTACGCTGTCACCACCGTAAAATTGTTTGTCTTTGAAAGTCGAGTAGCACACTCCAGGAAGGTCTAATCTACAGGCGTTCTGACTTTCTCCTTTTGGGCTTTCTTGGCCACAAATCTGCGCTGCACGGCTGCCCGGCTACAGCCGCCTTGGTTGGCCTGGTGGATCCGTCAAGAAGATCAAAGGCTACCACGCGACCGCACAAGTACCCATCAAAAACGATGTCACTTTAGACAAGACTGGACTTGAGAGGTCTTTCTTTTCATGTGTGAAATCTCCATGTCCATGAAAGCGCGTCTCAATCCAGGAGGGTTCCTGTCTTCAGAAGATTCTTCCATATAGATATATATATATATGTATATATATATATATGAATGCTTACATATGTTCATATTGTGCTCCAGTGAAGCACGAGATCTTGTGATCCAGTGAAGCTCCTGCGACGTCCAGTCCGGTGCAAGCAGACCGGGCTAGAACATGCCGGTGCTTGACCGGTGCACAGGCAACATGCCGATATTGATCTATCCACACTGAAATGATCGGAATGTGTTGCGGAATGTTGCGGACCTGCGGACTCATCGTGGGAAACTGCCGTTTTGCCGGACGTTGTTGCGTTGAGTTTTGGACCTGAAAGCCCATCCAGCCAGCCAAGACACTCCCACCGGAAAAGAAAAGAATGGGGATGACAGGGATGGATTGCTGGAAAAAACGGATGTGTGTGTGTGTGTTGCTCTGCGCCTTTTGAAAGCTAGCCCTTGCAAGGGAAAACCATCACCAGTAGTTCCCAGACTCTCCATGTATGGAATATGTATGAGCCTACATTGGGCCCCCTGTTCCACCACACCAATTTGTAGGACGTTTTCGTCACAGTTGACTTCAAGGACAACGCGAGACATGGTAAGTACTAGAGATCATGCTATAGGATGGGGTGGCTGTGGATCTTCTGGCCGATGCTGTTGTTGAGCCCATTAGCCCGGGCACCGCCCGTCCGGTTTCACCCCAAAGCAGCTCGGCAGGTCGACACGCCGCCGCTTCGCCGACACCGCTCCGGTCGGGCGTGCAGGACCCTCAACGAGCCAAGTCGTGCTTCGCCAAAGTGCCTCAGCCAAAGTGGCTCAGTCGTGCTTCGTGTGTGGTGCGGAGGTCTTTGTTATTATGTGTTCCCCCCCTCCGTCAGACTAGAAGACTTCATGTCATTAACACTTCTATTTCACTGATCGATCAGTGGGACGAATGAGAGTTGGTTGTGTTGGCACACGTGTTCAGTGAAATGTTCAGATGTCTCAGCTCCAAATGCTTTGGCAGACTCAGGTAGTTGACAGTCGACGGGTTAGACAATCACTACCCCCCGGGGGGGTCAATTTGTAACTTACAATTTTGATGTTACGACAATAGCATTATATAGCCCTCTATTGAGGTAGCCTATGTGAGGATCAGGATGTTACTGTTTTTGCCCCCCAAAGAGGTCTTGGCCTCTTCTTGAGAGTTGGAAATGAAGGGGGAGGGGTGGGGGGTCCAAATTGTAAGAATGGATGGGTGGGCCTGGGTGGGTACCTCACAGAGCAAGTTACAATTTCCCCCCCGCGTCGGCGTTGCTTTCGTTTTGATGTGCACCCACAAGTCCACATCACAATTACAACCTTCTTCTCCGACTATTGAAGCTCGTAAGAGAAATGTTGAAGCCAGAACATTAAAGGAAAAAACACAGCACAGGGGTGTACCATAGTGCACCCAGAAAGCCATATTACAATTAGTTCCCCCCCCTTCTGCACTGGTAAGGTCCTTCAATAAAGGCTGAGGCAAGCACCGCACAGGAAAAACACCGCACAGTGTGTGTTTAGTGCACTGAAAAGTCCACATAACACTTGGGAGCGTCCTTTTGCCGCTCTTGAACTTTGAAAGAGAAATGTTGAAGCCAGAACGTGAAAGGAAAAAACACTGCACAGGGTGTACCATAGTGCACCCAGAAAGCCATATTACATCATATTACAATTAGTTCCCGGAAAATGGCCTTGCGGAATCTTTGTCATCGGTTTTCATTACAGATGGGAAATTGTAAGTTACAATTTTGAGGGTGAGGGTCCATGCTTCTACCTCACCCTCAAAAATGTAACTTACATTTTTTGGCGTACAGGCTGAACGAACACACATGAGGGTCAAAAATGCAACTTACAAGTTTGACCCCTGTCTTGTCAGATGGAGGTATTTTAGACCTGTATGTTCAATGTTCACCGTGTTCCAAAACCTGCATTTTGACACACCCAAAATTGTAAGTTACATTTTTGACCCCCCCCCCCGGGGTGAGGTAGTAGTGATGTTAGACCCTTTCTCCATCCACTTGTACCCTGGTACATGTTGCCACCGAAACGCCAAGGCATTGTATCATCGCTACGCCAACTATTCCTCTCGGCTCATGGACTGTGCTTGGAAGGTTTTGTGATTTCTTGTTGCAACAAGAAATTTATAAATATCCAAGAACATCCAAGAACTCATATAATCTAGTCCTTTGGGATTATACTCTGCTCCTGTGCTCCTTTTGCCAATATCATTGTACCCCCCTGAGGTCCAATGACATAGACGTAGGATGCATTTGTCAGGCCGATGGTACTTCCCTTCGGCCAGGTGTTAAAACTTGCTTGGATCGTGGATCTTCAAGCCTTGATCTTCAAGCGAAGTGTGGATGTGGCGTTCCACACCAAGCTTGGATCGGGGATTCGGAGAAAAACACCTTGGAAGGATGTGCGACTTCCTCCATCTTCGAAGTCCCTTTTTTCAGAAATCCAATCCCAACGGCCGCTTGGCCGCCACCCGGCCTCTTCGGTTCGAGCACCGATCGAAGCCCGAGGCTTCCAGGACTGAACTTGGAGGCCTTCGGATGCCACCGAAGTGACGTGAATGCCTTGGCGGACTACGGCCTGAGGTTTCAACAAGACATGCGAACAGGCCGGGGTGACCCATGTTCCACGGACGAAAAAGGCGGAGGTTTAAAGGGAGCGCGAGTTGGGGAGAGGTGGGTCACAGCGCTTTGGGGCTGGAAATGAAGGACCTTCATTTGAGGAGGCGAAGCTAGCTTGGGGAGTGTTTTGTCTGATATAGTGGACAACCAAGTAGTCTATGACCATGAATTGCGAAGATCAGGTGATGATCGTTTTAGCCCCTGGGTCCCGAGACATCCCGAGACCCACATGGAACCTGAAGGACGATTTGGACCTGCAAGGAAGACGATGTCCTCTACAACCCCCGTGGTTTTCAGGTTCTTCCGGGGTGTGTGTGTGTGATTGTGTGTGTGTGTCGTTAACTTTCTGCCTTTTTGGCCCTGGCAGTTTCTATGCGTGTTTTTGTCCAACAGATTTCTGCACAGGAAAAAAAACGCCCGTCACAAGGAGTTGTGACGCACAACGTTCACACGTGATGTGTTCAAAAGAACGGCATCCAGTTGGCCGTCTACGGCAGTTCAAACTGCATGGGTTGCCTCATGTATCCTCATGCCAGTTCTATTTACATAACATGTTTTGCTTTAAGAACAACGACATGTCCAGAGAGTTGCTTGAAAGACTCATATATATACATACCTCATGGATCCTTTGCAGCTTTGGACCTGGTCACACGGATCGATGCGACTGTTGAGACAGAAGTTTCTTTGAGAGAATGACCTGTCCTGCAGGTTGGCTGGTGGTTCCGCCATTCATGTGCCAGCAGTGTTGCACGCAGGGCTATGGACGTTTGCTGGTGGTCCTGGGCAGAAACCCCTACATGAGGCAGGGGCTTGAAACGTGCACGAATCACAGGGGAGTTCGCCCCGACAAAAAGGTTGTTCGATGGTGACGATGAAACATGAAACATCTCACTCCCCATGCAGAGGACCACACGGAACCTCAAATGTAGAGGAACATGGTTGAAACCACGCGTCCATTCTCAGGTTCTACCAGCAAACTTCCCGGTTTTTTCTCCAACATATTGTGTCCTTTCTTTCTCCATGTCGTTTCTTCTCCACGAAGATGCTGAAAAATCCTTCGAATCTGCATCCGCACCGATGCAGGCTTGCCTCGTACTTCCAACGGCGAACCGGACCGAAAGTGCCTGGAAGCAAGGCGGTGGATTGGTCCAAGTTCAAGGGCTGGGTGCGGCTGCCTGGCAGAACCCGGCGGATTTGGCATCGGTATTTTTGGGGCAAAAAGGAGAAGAACAAACCATCGGCTTCCGCCGTAGTATAGGTTGTTTGGTTGTTGTTAACTTCGATTTCCTGCGGCCCACCAGAAATCGATCCATCCACCAGGAACATCGAACACAAAACTGGCGACCCTTCTGGGTCGCACAAGGACCCCTTGGGTTCGAGAGACCGGCCATCGCACGCGACCTGGTGGCCCGGCGTCTGGGCCAAAAACGGCCCGGAGAGGTTTTCTTGTTGACGTTTTGGTTGAACATCCGGTCTGATTTTTCAAGACGCCCACCTCTTTTCGAACGTCTAATACAACTGAATTTAAATGAATTATATATTAATATAAATATAAATATAAAAGGGTTTTTGATACCCTGGGACTTTGGGGTAACTTCTGGTGTGTTTGAGTGTGTCATGTTTGTCTCCATGTTTGCTCGTTTTTTTGTCTCAGGGTGCTTTTCAACAATTCTTTGTGGCTTTGGTGCTGTTACCAGCTTGTCGTCAACTTCTTCCATTGTTTTCCACCCGTTTTGACCGTTGCCTGTGCCCCACTTGTAGCATTCTATGGTTGGGTGTGTAGAAAGTTGACTTACTGTAAGTGTATTGACGTGCTATTTCTTGCGTAGCTGGTGGTGTCTTTTGGTTGCCCTATTTTTGCAAGGACCAGTATTACACAGGATGGTTGTTGAGCAGCTCGGACCATCTATATAATTTGGTTTCGGGGATGGTCCAGATCATGTTGAATCAACCTGAATAGGCAGATCTAGGAAGTACCTTCCTGCTGCAGTACGTATGGAAAAGAGAGAGGGAGAGGAGTACCTACCTCGTCATTGGCAGGTGGCAGGTGGTCGTTGGCAGTTGCAGGTGATGTCCTCAAGTTTCAGGAGCTCTCACAACAAGCTTGGATTCCCTAGTGCTTGGTTTCGTTTTTTTGGATCTCTGAAAGCAAAAAATAAACCTCAGAAGCCAATGGGTGGACCCCCAGAGACGCCTGCCGCTAGTGGCGTGGCTTCCAGATACTCCAGGCTCCTTCACAACATCACCACCAACACCAACAGCTTCCAAACCCTTCGTGGCGTACCGCACTTGATTGGCTCCGATGACCTTCTCCACTTGCGCTCTGCGAAGGAGATGTTGGATGATGCCAGGCGAATCGGTCGCTCCTTCTTGATCCGGTGCCGCTGCCATTTGGGGAAGAAGGAAGAAATTCACCATTTGAACAGCTGGGTGCCACATGCGTTCGCCAATTGATGTGCTCTCGAGAATCAAAACCATGTCCAACTCAGTGACTTTTTTTGGCTGGCCAGTGTAGTTCGCGCGCCAGACGGTGCATGTGCATCGCTTGTGCACCGTGAATTTGGATCGCTTGTGCACCGTGAATTTGGACGTCTCTCTTTAGCCCAGAAATAGTCATGGAAGCATCCAGGGTGCGAAAAACGACGCTGCCAATTCCGTGTGATTTATGGGACGTTCATGACTCTCGAGAACTTCTTCGGAATGCAATGCACTTTCCTCGAGCGCGCTGGTCGCTGTGATGCCGTGCACATTGGCAGGTGCAAGGAAATCCTGCAGCTTTGGTGCTCGCTGTAGACCCCCCCACCCCACCCTGCGCAGGTGAGTGCAAGAGTTGTGCTTGGGTGTAGTGCTGTAGGCCCTACCCCACACCCCAAGATGCAGGTGAGTGCAAGATGCAGGTGTGTGTAGAAGACCCGTGGTGCGCAAGTGATCCATGGGTGTGCTCGGTTTTGGCAAGCTTTACAGCAGTTTAGAGCCTGTCCCTAGTTTCTCTGGAAAATCCTTGGTGCGCAAGTGATCCCCTTGCCGCGCAAGACTCGCAGGATTTCAGATGTTTTTGTTCCCAGTCGTTGACCGCTTGTTTTAAGGAACCTCTTCTCACCGACCTCAAAAGCTAGGTGACCAATGAAAAGAAACTTGTATATATATATATATATGATATACACCGTAATTGATATTGTATCCTACTGTTTGTCTATATATACCATCTAGCTCCCCTCCCCTAGCAAAAACGTGTAGTTCCATGGGATCTGACCAGGATTTTACCAGGGCGCTCGCAGCGTGACTTCACGGTGGTGCATCAAGAGACCCTCGAGGCAGATCTCAAAGCCTTGGAACGTCAGCTCTGCCGTCGCTTTGGATCCTGCAGCGCTTTACCTCCCCTGCCCAAGCAGAAGGAGCGTGGCGCTTTTGTTTTTCTACTGCGCACGATCGGAGAGTGTCGTCTTTTTTTTGGGGGAAGAGTGTGGTGGGGGTGATGGAAGAAGTATAATTGGTAAGCTGGTAATTGAGCCATCTTGAGCTGCAACATCACATCGCTTCCGTCCTTCGAATGGAAGATGGCTTGAATGGATTGCATGTCAAGGTCTTGGGGCTGACATTTTGAGATTTGTTTACTTTCCCATGGCGAAGCGTAAGTAAGTGGTATCACTCAAGTGAAATCCATGATCGATTCCAGCCGGGTTCCTTCGGGGTTCCGCTGGCCAAGAACTGGTCAGGAAGGCTTCCATCATACCAACTCCAACTCTTTGATGAAGAATCCGAGCAAGTGGCGTTCGCTGTGGAAGGGGCTCGAGCAACCTATGGTCGCACGCTATGGCTGGGATTTCGAGCATTTGGGATATTCCACTGACCCATCAGAGATCTTGCCACGAAGTGTGGTGGACGCGGGAGAAAAGCGCGTGGACCGTGTGGAAGGGAGAAGATTTCGGGCGCCGAGGGGCGCCCCCCCTGGTTTGGGCAGTTGGAAAGGATTAGCGGCTCACTTGCATTCACCGACTGAGATCCTTGGAATTCCGATTTCGACCACCTAACAGTTTGAACATCCAAGACGCGGCCAGTTGCCTCGTTGGCTTACTTGATACTGGGTCATCTGGCTCGACCTAATTTGACAAGGATGCTCACGCTTAAGCCAGCTGCTTAAAAGCCGAATGTGTTGAAGGGACCAATCACTTTTTTGTTGGCACTTGCTCCCGTTGTTTTTTCATGTTTACCAGCAGTTTTGTAGGCAAAACGTCCATGTCATGCGTCACCTGTCCTTTTCTGGTGATGCTTCCCTGGTATAATATAATATATATATATATATTTGTTTATGTATGTAATATATATATATATATACATATAGAGAGAGAGGGATACATATTGTATATATCATACATTAGTTGATACAGTACATGCTTACACTTTACTTTTACATGTGGCATTGCGTGATTGGTTCTTGTCTTTTGTCTTCCTCCTTCCTCGTTTTTCACTGTTTGGTCGTTGAATGTTGGTGTCGAACGAACCTTTCATCGAGACACATCGACCCGCGCCAAAGATTTAAAAACTTCACATGTCTTTAGATCCTGATCGCTGCCTTTTAGGCATTGACTCTCTTGGGCATTGACTCTCGAGGCTTCAAAAAAGGTCGTTCTTGACAGTCGCCACAGACCGCTTTGCTTTAGGGTTGCTTGGTGTGTTGGTCTTGCGACACGGCTCCATAGATTTCAGCGCCAACAAGGTGCAGAGGTTTTTTGGAACAATTGAGTGCGAGATCTGCCGGGAGAAAACTACAGTCTTTGCGGCTACACATCGAAGCAGCAGCTTTTCGACATCCCCCTTTCGACCAACAAGGAAAAGCACAGCCACCAAGAATGGTCGGGGGTGTTCAACTGAAGCAAGGAAGCAGTTTGCATTGTAGAGCATGGGATTTTGTGCTGCCACACAACAATATCCAAAGCCAAAATGACATGTTTTTGATACAAAAAACGGCAACGAATCAACGGGCACTTTTGTGAATGAGCGCTTCGTGCCTGTGGCCAGAACTGCACGCGTGTTTTTGTGTTTGTTTTTGTTTTCAGAAGTTTAAAGCCTCCAGATGGCGCTCCATTGTTTCAGGGCTGGTCTTCTGAGTCTTCTCACAAGAAGATGTTGGAGAGCTTTTGTTGCGCTGGGCATGTATAGTCGAAACCAGTCGACGCCTGTGAGGTGACTTCTGCCAGAATCGCCCCTGTGACCGTTGCAACTGACGTTTTCATCGCCGCCACATCCGGTATTACAAGTCACAGCTCATGAGACTCTCAGCGTGTCTCAAGAGCATTTTTTACCTATATGTTGCAGAAATTGCGAAGAAGATGTGCATTCTTCCTGAGCGTGCAAGGAACGCCAAGCTTAAGATCACGAATCACTTGCGTTTCCTCGCCTAGTCAAGGAACTCTGTCAACGTGCCTTTCCTCGCATGGCTGTCCTCAACAGCTTGAGGAGGTTGTCCACTTCAGTCCCCTTCCATGTTGGCGAGTCAAAGGGTATCGATCGTCCGTTTTTTCTTGCCAAGAACCGCAAAAAGCAGCGCTGTAGTGCATGTGCAGTTTATTCACTTGGCAGTCCTAGGGCCTCTAGGGCTCAGCAATTTTCGTTTTGGAGCTGGTACGTAGGTTGATACGTGGGTAATACAGTGTATCATGTACATTATGTAAGTGAAAAATACCTTTGCATTGAACAGCCTCTTCATCCTGGGGGCTTTACTAACCCAAAGTCTACACTAACTACTAAACCTTCCGAAGGAACCAAGGTGTTTTTCCCCCCCTCAAACGCCCCACGTGGAGCGTTTGATTTCCACCTGGAGCTTCCGATCCCCCTGGCACCTCATGGAGGTACGGAGCAAGTCGACCGGCGTTCAACGTCCACCTTCCCGAGCCAATTGGGGTCCAAGATCGAAGATCTCCCAAGATCGCCCACACAAGGGAGATCTTCCAATTCTGCCACAACAGGCTTTGCCCCAAATCAGAGATGGGATTTGGGGATGGTCAATTTTTCATGTTCATGTTCCATCCAACCCAACCCATGGGTGGTTTGGGGATGGGAAGCACGGCGGCTCGAGCCACTTCACGACTCCATTTTCGTCCAGGAGCGGAGCGAGCGGAGTAGCTGTGGTACGCCGGGGCGGCCGAGGAAGTGCTGCAACAAATGGAGGCTGAATCATGGGGCGCCGTATTTCCTGTAGAATTCTGGAGGGCGAAAGGAAGATCTGAAAACCATCCGATTTCGGGGTTCCAAGCACGGTTTTCCTGTAGAATGTTCCCTTAAACCAATTCCTGGGGTTTCCATTATCTTGGGTGGCTGGTGGCGATGGTAGGGATGCCAACATCCATGCATGTATAGATGATTGCAGATTGATCTACCCCCCCGCAAACTAACATGGAACTTGAGAATTGACCGTTGGAAGACTATGTTCCTCTACAACCCAGTGGTTTTGGATGGTTTTGGGGTTCCCATGTTAAATCTGCAGGAGAGTACTCAACAACCGATATGGAACTGTTGCATCATGTTTGTCCTTTGTGAGTGGGGCCATGCGGTCATGGTCGCCATGGTCATCCATCGATCATGCCTGTTTGGCTACAATATGGAGCCTTGACCCATGGACATTGTTTGGGTGCCAAGCGCGCATCCTGTTTCTAGGGAGAATCCTACAGAGGCTACGCAAGAAATCCGACATCATCCAAGAATGATGGGCCCCGCCCCATACAGTGGTGCTTGCATATCCGCGGATACAGTACTTGGATGGTATAACCTCAGTAGTTGTACAACCCAGTAGCCCCACCCATACAGTTTGCAGTATTCTTAGTGGTTGCAGACCTCCAAGGCTCGTCATGGCCACTTGCGTCTTGCTGGCGGCCGCTGGACAGTGAGGGCAGGGATACGTGTTGCATGAGTTTTGTTTGAGGAAAGTCCTGAGAAAGACAAGTAATGGTTGTGCACACTGGTCAATCAGATGGACACAGGATCAAGTGAAGAGGCTTGAGATGTGGGGATTGAGATGAGAGATCTTCACACGTGAAAGTGGCTTGCTCAAGTTAGGTGAGTTTTCAGGAGCTATGCCTGCGTTCCAGTTGCAAACATGTTTTGGGAAGCTTTCCGATTAAATATGGCACCAATGCACGGCAGGATGAATAGCAGTACATTCACCATATTTTGTCACACATGTAGGCCAAAGCTTAAGACTCAAGACTCACCGATATTCTCAGGATCGTATATATATATATATGTATTATGTATATATTTATTTATTTGGTATGTTATCTTATCTCCCCCGGATGTCGGATTTTTTCGCATCCAACTCCGCCCTCATATTTATGGATGTCTGGAGGTTTTCCGTCCGGGTCCCGAGACTGGAATCTCACCAAAAAAATGGACCTGTAAGGAAGACAAATGTCCTCTACAACCGACGGGGCTGGACTGGGATGAAGAAAACGATGGAACAAAAAACGTCCTCAGGCGTGGTGAACGGATCTCCCATCTCCACTCCGTGTATGCCCATATGGGCCATCTATTCGAGTGGAGTTTGTGTGTTTCTCCGACGATGGGAACTCTGACGGTCGCACGGTGCTTTTCCGAGGCAGCTGCTGTATACCAGCCTCTCGGTCGCGAAACATGGAGGACTGGGGAGGAACCGAACCGATTGCGAAACGATCATCCAATCGAGGTCCATAAGTAGCGCGGGGGAAGGCGGTGGGATGGTCCACGGGTTGAACTTGTTGGAGATATACCTGACATGAGACACTCTTTGCCTTTTGGGGGGGGAGGAGGGCCTTGGCAAGACAGTGGATCACAGATGTCAAGCCATCTAGCTGATGGCTGTGGTTCCAGTCCTCAAGTGCTCATGACCGTTTGGTGTGACCCTGGGATGGGTGGAGACTCTGTGTAAACACAGTGGTTTCAGAGTAGATGGCACTGGCACCCAAAGATGTTTCTTGCATGGGGTCCTTAGAAGGCACCGAACTTGGGATGATGCCATCTAGCTTGAAACCACTGTAGATCGAGCAGAGGATCGCCCACTTAGGTTTGCCTGAAAATGGCAGTATGCTCAGAGTGAGAGGGGGCCAGGGGCAGAGGGATGTACAATTTGCATCCGATCCTTTGGGGTGCGATGTGTCACTCAACAAGCGTTGTTGGTGGGGCCAGAAGCCAGAGTGCTGCTAAGAAGATTCACAAACTGCTTTACATGTGCCCGTTGCTGCTGCCTTCATCTCCATCTCGGTTTGCCCTGAGATCGGTCAAGACGACCAAGAGAGGTGTTTCACCCTTCGATGATGCAGTGCGAAACTTGAGGAATACTCCGAGTTCGGACCTTTTTTTCACGATGTTGAAATCGGTGGGTCCACTCCGGGCTCGCCGCCGGGCGGGGCGGGGCTGAGACTCTCACAACTTCAAAGCCGAAGCCGAACTTGTCCCAGACAATCCATGGGACTGTAACCCAGACACCCCATGGGACTGCCTCAAAATTGATCGGCATATGGGACAATATCTGTATTTTTTGCCTGCATTGGGGGTGTCAATCCATATAGGCCCTATATGATTGGCGAAGAGTTAGTCCAGTCCCATGGCTGTTTGGGTGCTCGACAGCGCAGAGCGGGTGTCCCAGGTTTCGAAAAACCAGAAGCAGTTCAACGCAACCATGGGAGTTCCCATGAGTTTCACGTTGCTCATTGGCTCTTCGGCTTTTCGTCCTTCCTTCGGTGCGGTCGAGCCTCCCATCGAACACTGCAGACGATGCGAACGTCATCCGAACCCCCCAAAAGGTAGGACGGTCAGGACTCCTCGGATTCTCCAGCGTTGAAACTAAGTTTCATGACATTCTTCCTTGGGTGCTGAGACGCAAACCGTACATTTTGTGCCCTCCTAAAGTGCGCAGCTGAGGAGATTGTCTTGCTGCAGGTGTTTGCTTGCTTGGCCCACAGAAAAAACACTTCTCGTGAATCATTCGCTGATTCCCAACCCAACAATACCATATATATACATATACATGCATGTGATCCAAGCGTTCAAATTGGCCCCCCCAAAGGACGGGCCATGCATCGACCACCACCGATCTTGAGAATCTCCACGATGCATCGACCCAGACGACCAAGAAGTTGAGGTAGACCGACCAAGACGAGGTTAATAGGACAGGCCGGGGCGGAAGAACACGCAATTCTTCATCGAAACCATTTACATGGCGTCCTCTCTCAGCGCCAGCGCTGGACGCTTGTTTTTAAAACTCCAGTTCTTCAATGATCTTCAGGGAAAAGCACTCTGCAGACAC